CGATGAATCATCTCCATATAGTACAACAAGTAATTTAGACAAGTAATGCATAGCAGCTTCCTCTTTTCCTGTGGTTCGTCGATTTAGAGAAGACTTCCATTCTGTACTGGATTGCTTGAGGAGCCAGGGAATGGAGGATAGATAAATGGTTCTGGTCACCATGATTTACAAGAATGCGACAGCTTGTGTGAAGCTTCACGAAAGCAGAAGCAAGTTCAAAGTCGAAAAGAGCGCCTGACAGAGTCACTGAATATCACAGAAGTTATTCACAGTAACCCTAGAAGAGATTTTGAAGATGCCTCGGGAAAATCAGGGATTGAACACAAAAGACACTAGTTCAGCCACCTCTGGTTTGCAAATGACATTCTGATTCCTTCATGGCCGCCAGAAGAACTCCGGCGAAGTATCCAAGTGCTGAACGACGCTTGCTGAAAATTCTGCTGAAGAAATTTCTTTTCATGCTTAGAAAATACGTGGCCGTCGACCTGTTGAGGTCAACGAACTTTGGCTTGAGGAAGTGCAACAGTAAGTTTATCTGGGCCAGCTCACCTTTGTAACGGATAACCGACCATGGGAAACGAACAGAAAAATAAAGATGTCATAGTGTACTTATTGAAAACTGTGAATGTTCCTCTCCGGAAAACTGCTCTTGTGCTTGAATCAGCAGGTTTTCTGTTAGTCTGTGGGCGCCTACTGCTTGCTTATAGATGTGAAACGAGATTCTAAACTTGAAAACTAACAGCAGACTGCAACACTGCATGGAAATACATATATTGGCAATAGCACAAGATGATAGGAAAACCAATGAGTGAATAAGAGTGTATACAAAAGTCTGCAGTGTCATAGTCTGAGTAAATAAGTTAGAGTGGCAATGCGTAGGGATAGTTATAGGAAGATCCAACTGTCGCTGAGCTGAAACGACATTTGAATGAGTTTCAAAATGGAGTAAATGTCCTTATGGTAAAACTTTAGTTCGATGGGAGGATGAGCTGAAGAAGTTTCTTGGATCAAGATGGATTAAAATGGCAAAATCAGGTCTGCGACGAATTCTAGGAGATACCTTCATGGATCGACGAAGACAAATGATTATGATAAAAAGATTAAAATCCGTCGGAACAACCAGAACAACACAGTCGATTAGAGGGTGTGTTTATTAAACCGCCTGCTTTCGATGTATTTATCGAGCTGACGCAGCTATTCTGATGATTTTTTCCGTTAGACGCTCAGCTTCTAAATGAGGTTTTTTCTGTAAACACCTCTGCGTTGACCACAAAATTGCAACACCAGGCAGGTGAACAGTACGCGCTCTTTGTCGAAGTATGCCAATCAGCTTAGTTCTTACCTCCTTTAGTGCAACTTCATTGAGTCATGGTAAAAAATTATTCTCAAGTTTATTTTTCGATTATAATTAAATAAACTGTTGATGAATATATGAACAGCTATGCATCAATTTACGACCTTTACCTTCTTTTGACGTTAGGGTCAGTCTGTGGTAGCTGAGGAAGGATAGTTGCAGTCAGTTGGTCCGGGCGCAAAGCTCTGATCCTTTCTTTGCAGTCTGTTCAAAGCTTGATTACCATTCTATGGTTTATTGAATACCACGCACAGGTACAGAAACAGAATCCTTATCAAGGGATGATGATATAAGTGAGAAATTTTTGCCAATATGTTTTGACAATGAGGAATTCTTATTTGTTGATCACTTAGGCGAGAGAAGATATTTTTTCTTCCTTTCTTTGTATAGTAAATCTGCATTATCTAATTTATCCGGTCATCTTGCTAATCAGTCTTCATTTTCTGTTCAAAGGACAGATAGTATGTTGAAAGTATGCTCCTTTGGTTCAAGATTAAGGCAGAGCATTTCCCTCTCCAAATGCCGCCTTCTGGTTTGTAGTTGGGTTCTTAGAAAATGTTATCCTTATATATATAATAACTTTCGTTGTTCTATTCATTATAATATAATTATAATATCATTATCCGGAAAGAGAGTCACGTTCAGTACTACTGACCTGCTAGCTGGCCGTGGGGTTCGTGACTGCATAAAAACATAACCTCAACCTTTGGTCGCCTGTTTGTGATCCTTCACTACGTCGTTGTCCGCTTTACACGAGGAAAACACCGAAACGATTAGTGAAGGATGACAGTATTATATTTGAATGGTTTTTAAAATATGGTGTTGCATTTTAGCCGTTCACTGTAGAAATATTTGG